TTTTTTTTTTTTGTCTGTTGCTGAAAGCCCATGTTCTTTTATTGTACCCATCTAGGTCAGTTTGGGCAAAAGGCAATTTCACTGCCTAGCTCTACAAAGAGCATCTGGGAGTTGAGGTCGCTGGCCACACTCACCGCTGGTAGGGATGCATTGAAGCTGACTTGATGTTGGTTTTTATTCCACTTGGCATTTTCCCTGGTTGACCTGCTTGGCCCAGTTGTACCCCACTGAGAATTGATTGCTGCTGGCTTGGAGCACCTGTCATCTGCACCTGCTGTAATCCTGAGGCTCCTGCAAGGATTGTTCCAGTTCCTGGCTGGCCTGGCTGGCCAGACCCACTGCTGCCTGAAGGTCTCCAATTAGACAGCCCTTTTCCAAAGGCAACAGCTGCCACCAAGGCATTGGTGTCTGCAGGGTTAAAGGTCTGCTTGTTTGGCCGGAGACCTCCACTCTCTGATTCTCATTCCTCTTTGCTGATTTTCTCCAAAAGGTTTGAGCACATTTTATTTAAACTCTGGATCTGCTTCTGAGCTACATCAGCACCAATGCGGGCAGCATCTGTTGTCAGTTGCTTCTCTTGCTCTTCAACCTCAGGGTCAGGCTTGGTTCTCAGATGGTCAGGGACTACCTCATGGCTGAAAACAGGTACTCGTCCTTCCGTCTGCCGCATAAGATCTTCAGCACGGTCTGGGGACAACACCAGAGGGATGATGACCTGGTTACGGAACAGTGGTGTCTTTTTATGCTTCAAGACCTTGTTCAGAGTGTTCAACTGTCCAGAGAGCAAGGCAGAGCTGTCCAGGACAGAGGGCCAGGTCAACCGGTCATACTTGTTCTCTAATTTGTAAATGAAACTCCCCAGTGAATTCTTCAGATCAGCTACTTGACTCAGCAGTGCATCTAATGACGCTTCAAGCTGCTTCTCCTCCCTCTGCATAGCGGCGGCAGTGTCTGCAGCAACCACCCTTGGCAGCTTTCTTGATAAACTCCGCACTTTGCTGGCTTCCACTTTCTGCCTATTCTGCTGCTGCATTTGCGAGTACTCTTTGTAGTGGTCCCTGATGCGCTGGCATTCTTTCTCTTGCAGAATAACTGAATACTCAGCAGCACCTCTGAGAGAAAGCCGCCCTCGAGTTCCACTCGCTGCCAGTCAGCCCAGTTTCTCCCTGTATGAATCTGGGTCCCCAGAGACTAGCCCGGAACTGGAGTTCAGAGCAGTCGGGAACTTGAGACTCCCGATTTGTTGGGGTCCCCAAAGGTATGGACAGAGTCGGCGAAGAAGGAATGACACGGAGACAGCATTCAGTTGATCAGCAGCCTAGCCAGGATCTCTTCTAGCCAGGATCTCCAGCCAGGTTCTGTGTCTTATTGTCTTGTTACATCTGTATTTATACCAGGTGATTTTAATCCTATCAATTTCTATTCCAAAGGTTAGAGTGTTTCTTATCTCCATTCCAGGGAGTAAAGATTATGTAGCTTAAGGGTGATTGTTCGTAGTTAAAGTGATTAACTACCCACCTGGCATTTAGTTAAGGGGTTTTATTCCCTCCCTAACTTCAGGGAAAAATCCCTACCTGTGGAAACAACCTTTCTCAGGGAGGGGACCTTGGTTAAAATAACACCAAGAAGGTGAGCAAACATATTAAGAACAGTATGCCATATACGCCAGGTCCCTTGAAACATATGCTGTGCAGATGTTTCTTCCCTGCAGCGACTGTGTCAAGTAGCAAGGATGGACCGGCTTCTGGCAGATGATGTGGATCTTCGTCCCATATTGACAATCTATATGGTTCATTTTTACCTTAGAATAGCAGAGAAATCAATTGCAGGTTGCTTCGTGGTGGGAGCGGGAAAAGAAAGCATCAGTAGATTTTCTGGAAAAATCTGGAGTTAAAAATCCAGAAATATGCTTCTCTACTCCCTCCACTGAGTGTGTGCGTGCACATGCATACATGTGGACAGGGGGACTTGAGGTGTGGTTTCCGCAGATTTCTTTTCTCATTCCCCCCATAAGCTCCTCTCTCATTAGCATTCAGAAGGCAAGAGAACACTGACAGAATTCCCAGCAACAGTCCTGAATAGCACCCTGGTTAGGGACTGGTTGCCAAGTGCTGATTGCCAGTACCTTAGGTCTGGATTATGTGAACTAGTCACTGTGGCTAAGGGGATGTTACTCCTGGTTTGTCTGAGGCAATCGGGACACATCTCAGAGGGAGGAGTTTGTGCCACTCAAGGGCAAGTCAGCCCAAACTGAATGCCATTACTTGCAGGGTAAGGCATGGGTCAGCCTGAGGGTGCTTAGGGCTCTGGAGTCCTTCCCCTGGTCTTTGAGTCTCCCCAGAACGTTCAGGCATGGGGGTGTAAAGTTGCTTATAGATAAGAACAATGGTCCTCTCATCGTATTGGGTTATTCAAACTTGTCCAGGATGCACCTTCAGTGCACATGGTTTGTTGTGAACTTGTTTTGACTTGACCATAGCTGACCATCTCTGTAGGGAGATGGCTCTTGGGGTACCCGACACCATGTGAAGCCAGAGGCTCCCGAGTCAAGAGCCCGAGGGACAGGAGCAAAAAGCTGTGTAGACTGCTCCTGTCGAAGCTCTCTCCTGACCTGGCTCTGGGGCTAGAGTAACCGTGCCCCCTCTGCCAGCCTCTTGGGGTGTACTTGCCTCCTTTTGATTTCTGGAGAAAACGGTCATCTTGGCCAACACCCCTGCCTTTCTCTGACCCTCACCTTCTTGAACCTGAGTTTACTCGAGTAGGAAACAACCATCTGTAGAGACTCCAGAGAGCCATTTGCAATCCCACTGGAATTGTGCCTTACCCACCTCCCATTCCCCCAAAGAAGTCAGTGTCCAGTGTGACCTAGAGAGGGGATGGAAGAGGCATTGGTGCTCTCTTCTTACCGGAAGTCATTTGTCATGAACTTGTTTCGATTGGCCCATAGCTGCCCAGCTGCTGGGGCTGATGGATTTGGTTCATTGTGAACTTCCCTTCTGGAACCTTCTGCTCTTGAAAATGTTTACTGGTTTTGAAACTGCCTTCTCTGCACCCCTCTCCTGGCCACTGTGCTACTGGAACCAAGACACTCCAGCTTCCCCTCAGCTAACCTTACTTTCTTACTTCGCATCTTTGGTCTTAAATGTCTTCTCTAAATGACCAAACTAACTAGATGTTTTAGAAACTTTTCTAAGCCTGTTGCCGTTGGGTTAATGAAGGCCTATCACTTGAAGGTAGGATTGCCCCCAAATGATCTATTTTGGGAGAAACAACTAGGAGGAAACTACAATGCTTATTTAGTTTTGTTTTCCATGCCATGTATCTTTTTCTATTCCCAGGAATCCTCTGCATTCACCAAGATGGAGCCTCCAGGTTCAGGGTCAATTAGTTCCCTGGCCCTGATGAAGGACCTGAACAAAGCTAGTCATAATTGCTCAGTGCAGGGGCACAAGTAGCATCTCCTGGATCTGGCCTTAATGAGCCTGAATACTTAGTTCAGAGCGTCCACCCCCACCCTGACTTCCCTGTGGGGGTGATTACCCCATCTCTGCCCCTTTAAGAGTGGAAGCAAGGACACTCGGCTCCTCTAATGAGACCTGACAGTGGCTCCAGCCTCTGACTTCAGGAAGGAGGGGAGGCCTGGCCGTGGGAGCAGGCTATCTTTTGAGTGTCTCCTCCCTGACCCAGGAGAGCAAGAGTCTGTTTCCCTGCTGCTAGGGGGCACGGAGGGGATCTCTATCTCTAAAGAAGAAAGGGAGCACGCGGCTTGTTCTGTGTCAGCTCAGAAAGGAGGGATTAAACTCAAACCCGAAGCAGTCAGACATGGAGGAGGGGCAGAGATCAGGGGAGCGTCCCTCTGAGGCTGATCTGGGATGACAGGTTGTCTCAGATTCCAAACCTGCTCCCTGCTCTCAGGGGTCTGAGTACCTGAGGACCAGGTACTGCTGGGAGTCATAGGATCCCTGCCTGGAGCCTTTTTTGCCCTTTCATGTTAATATCCTTTCCCACCATGGAGCTCCAAAACCATCAAAATGTCAGGTGCCCCCTAATGAGCTGCACCTAGCCTTCTGGTCATTTCTTCTTCCTACCGTCACTCTTCCAAGGGACATGTTTGGGGTGGAAGGAGCTCAGGCTCAATCTCTCCTCCTTTCAGGTGCTTTCTTCTTAGATATTGGAAAAGTTAAGGTTTGTCATGAACTTGTTTTGACTTCACCAAAGCTGCCCAGCTGGTGGGGCTGATCCAGGTTGGTTCACTGTGAACCTTTCCTCTGGAATCTTCTGCTCTTGGAAGATGAATATATTAATTCCTTTCTATTTATATTTGCCTCTAGATTTCTGTTTCTGAAGCTTGATTTCTAGATTTGTCTGTGGACTACTTTTACTCGCAGATACATAAATATGCCAAAAACAAGCTCCTCTGTGTCTTGATCTTAATAGAACTCACATCTTGTCTCCTTGCAGGTCCATGTATCCATCATGGTCGGGAGGCATGCGCAGACCTCATTTAGGAATCCACTTGGCCCATTCTGTGGCCCCCATCCCTTGAGGTCCTCTGCTCTTTGCTGGAGGGAGGTATTAATCCTCAAGAGAGCACATAATCTTGTTAACTAGCCTGTAAGCCAATGCCCACCTTGCTTTCTCCCACCTTTAATCTTCCTTAGCTCCCTCATTAATTTCAAATGTATCAAAGAGGTTGCAAAACTTACTTTCCGGAGCATCTGAGATCTTGCTCTTCAGGATATGTCATCAGTTTGGCTCAAATAAGCTCTTATAAAAATTCTCTACAGCTTTGGATGTTTCTGACATTGACAGTGAGAATTTTCGTCAATGTTGTCACCAACCTGTCCCCAAATACAGGGACTATTCCATTGATGCTTTATATAGTCTGCAACCAGGAACTCCCTAAGATGGTAAGGGTTCTGGCATGCAGAGCCAACTGTACATATTGGTGGTATAGATTTGGGGGTAAGCTGGATTCAGGTAGGAAGAATTATTTTTTTTCACAATGTAACACATTTATTTGTTATTTTAAAAAGCTATATCATTAAAATAAGACACAAAAGGCATTGATAAGTGTCTTGTTGAGAATCTTTTAAAAGAGCTAAACACTCATCTTTTGAGGTGCAATGCTCATAGACATAAGCTCATGAAACAACAGTTTGCACGCATAAGGCATTCGCAGCAAAGAAATCTGGGTTTTATTCCGACAGCCCCTGCATTCATACGTATGGGTCCTGGTGTTAGCAATCGCCATTATTCTACAAAGATTGCAGACATGAACCTGATATGGATCTGATGCCTCAGACAGTCTTTCCCTTAAAAACTGGGCTGCTCCATGGGCAATCTGACAGTCTCGTTCCATTTCACCAAAACACAGGCCACCATCCCGGGATCTACCCTCCATGGGCTGTCTGTTAAGAATCTGAATAGGCCCCCTAGCACGAGAATGAATCTTGTCATCCACCATATGCTTCAAACGCTGCTAATAAGTGGGGCCGATGAAAATTTGTGATGTGATTTTTCTTCCAGTGAATCCATTGTACAAGACCTCATTTCCTCTTAGATGGTAGCCATAATCGGACAAAAGGTTAGAAATCTCCTGCACATTAACGGCATCATTAAATGGAGTGGCATTACCAATTTCACCTTTGTTAGCTGAAACCTTCCCTTGAAGACATTCAACCAAGTGACCAATTGTCATACGAGAGGGGATGGCATGGGGATTTATGATGATATCAGGGGTGATTCCTTCGCAGGTGGAAGGCATATCCTCTTGTCTGTACTGAATACCTCAAGTACCCTTTTGACCATGTCGACTGGCAAATTTGTCTCCAATCTGTGGAATTCTAACAGAGCGTACCCTTATTTTACAAAATTTATATCCTTCCTGGTTGAGAGTTACTATAACCTGGTCCACAATGCCTGTCTCACTAGTCCTGAGAAAAGTGCTACAGTCTCTCTTGGTATAGCGTCTGTTAGTGCTCTCCAGCTCATCTTCATTTTCAGGCAGGGTGACTGTTTTGCCTATAATAACATCATCTCCCGATACACGGACCCCGGGAGCTATCAGACCATCATCATCCAGCTTGTCATATATAGCATGCCTCATACCCTGGCATGTTTCACGTGTAGGCTTCTCAAACTTCTTCTTGGGCAAATCCTTTTTTAGACTCCTGTTCTTTGTATGATCGATAGAAAACGGACCTGAAAAAGCCTCGGTCTACCGCTGAACGATTGATGGTAGTGTATGATGCAATGGCCACAGTTGAATTGATACCTACTGGCAACTCTCTAAATCGCAGATATTCCACAGACGGTGTAGTCACAAGCGGTTTTTGAGGATAATAGAGAACATGGGCCAATGTATCCATACGGACATGAAAGTTGATGATATAGACTCCCTTGGCCTGCTTACCCATAGCAGACTGGTATGTGTTTCTAGGGGACTGGTTATGATCAGTAAATGGAATAATAGATGCACAGACACCAAGAATCATTGATGGGTGAGTCTCACAGTGTGTATATGTGGAACAATAAGCTACTTCTTTCTCTTGTAAATCATTTGGAGTCATTGCCAGCATCACTGTTTCTTCTTCTAGAGTATCAGTATATTCCACTACCCCACTGGCCACAAGATCCCGCCAACTGTGGTTGTTATATTCTCTCTCTTTCAGTTGATCATTATGTCTCTTCTTCAACAGAAGCTTTTGTTTTTCCACAATCAGAAGTGGTCTACAAATACGACCGACATCTGTATAGATCCGAATCTCCCTCTCTCGAACATCTCTGATCATAGAAACTTCAGACACAATGATGTCCATCTGACGCCGCAATTTCCTTAGAGTGTTCATAAGTTGTTCAGGATCTTTATGTATTCCAACGCAGCAGCCATTAACAAAAATCTTGGTTGCGCCAGCAATAGCTGCAGGAGAAATTTCTTCTAAATTTTCCATACTCCATTCTTCTAAAAATTCCAGAATTGGGGAAGGTTGAGATCCAACTGAAATATAAGCCATCAGGGCTAAATTCTTCACAAGTCCTACAGCATGGCCCTCTGGAGTCTCAGCAGGACACACCATTCCCCACAACGTATTATGCAACTGCCTCGGTTTTGCCAGCTTGCCATCTTCTACCGATTGGAGAATTTAAACGACGCAGGTGAGAAAGAGTGGATGCAAACGTCAGGCGGTTTAACACTTGAGATACTCCGGCTCTGGCTTGATGAGCTTTGTTTTGGTCACCCCAGTTTCCAGTCGCTAAAGAGTATTGTAGCCACCAGATATAATCCTTGTTTTAATTGCCAACTCCAAGTTAAAATCCTTTCCTCCATCAATAAACTTCTGTGCATAGATCCGAACTTCTTTAAGCAGATTCTTAAACAGGCCTCTAAATAAGACAACATTCTGTTCTTGGATGACAAAAGCTTCATCGAGAGAAGGTTTAACCATATCCCACATCTCTGCAACATCAAAATCATAAATAATATGCTCTAAAATAGCTCTGTCAGACACGAAACCTAATGCTCTGAATACAATAATAATGGGAACTTCTTGCTTGATATATGGTAGAGTTGCCACAATGCACTGACCAATAGCACTCTTTTTTGCACCCTGTCCTCCTCCTGCCAGCATGCTAACCCAAATAGTACTGGTGGGTCAGGAAGAATTCTCCAGACATGATCTACACTCTTCTGTGTAGGCAGATTTAGAATCCTTTTTGGCAAACACGTAGACTGTGTTCGTTGCCATTTTTTCTTGTGCAATTAGAACCTTTTCTGATCCATTAATAATGAAATAGCCACCAGGATCCAAGGGGCATTCATTTAACTCACAAAGATCACGATCCGTTAAGCCATTCAATAGGCAATAAGTTGAATTTTTCCTATACATAATTGGAATTTCTCCTATACATGTTTTCTGATGCTGAGTCTGAAGTTGTTCTTCACCTTTTTTAATGACTATTTTTGTTATATCAACATAAAGTGGAGCAGAATACGTGAGGTTTCGTAATCTGGCCTCATTTGGCATCAGTGGTGAAGGAGCACCATCGCTTTCCCAGTGAGTAGGCTTGGAGAGAGAAATTTGTTCAAACTTCAGCAAATATCTTGGCGGTTCTTCCACTTCTCAAGGAAAACTGGGTTGGTGATGAGCAGAAGCCCCAATATTTTCTTGTGGGAACTTCAGTGATGTGGTGTCTTCTCATTGTCTACATACTTGGAATGCAGCATCCTTATCCACACTTTTCAAATTACATATAACGTGGGGAAATGCCTAGGCAATCTCTGGCCACCTGTCCTCCTCTTTCCCCACCTTAACTTGTATCCCTGCCTTCATTTGTATACGAGTGAGGACTTGGGGGGCAGAAGGTTTATTTGTAAGCTGTTTCCAAGAAGCCAGAGCAAAGACGAGAGAGGAACAGGGAAAGAAAAAAAACACATTAAAAACATGACAGTGAGACTGTTATAATGGTGGGCGATTGGGGCTCATCCCAAGGGGACGCTCTGTGTCACAATGTAGAGCACACCACAGATTGACCCCCGGAGGGCAGGAAGCTGGGCACTCATCTATGCACTCTTAGCTTCCATTGGCTGAAGTTTTCCCAGGGATGTTAACTTTTCTGAGTTTCTAGGCTGCCCTGTGCATAAGTGACTTCTCACAGATGGAAAAAAGAGGGAATTAGCAGGTGCTTGTGCTGAAATCTTCCCCAACAGGTAATTAAAAAACTATAAAATACGTTAATTGGACCAGGTGAGGCTTTCTGCACATAGGAAAGAAGTCTATGGTAGATCTTTCTGGAATCAGGCCTTTGGAAAGAACACCAATCCTCCACATGTAGGGGTGGTGCCTTGCCAATGATGGCTTGAGAAGAGTGAAGTCCATGCAGCTCTATGCTTATGATTTTGTCACTTATCTGTGTGTGTGTGCGCACACACACGCGCGTGTGCAATAAAATTTTACTGAAAAGCAAAGAATATGGGTAGAACAACACTCTGCCTTGAGAATTCCGCCCACAATTCTGTCATATTGCTAAAATAAAATCGGATCGAGGACTCATCCAAGGCATGGGGAGATGTATAAGGGTGAAAGGAGTAAGACCTCACATACCCCCTTCTCATGCCACTGATCGAGGCTTGCAATAGCTTCCCCCCTCTGCCTAGGTCAGCTGACTGAGACATTCTTTTCTGCCTCCCCTTCATTTCTCCCCTCAGTTTCTGCCCTAAATAGATAGTGTGGCCTCTTTTCTTTCCCATTCGCTCAGCAAAGTCCCCAACTTCTTAAATCTCCTCCCTGCAGAAGGCGGTAGCCCCCCAGCTCAGGTGGGAGGCTGCCACTTCTCTTAAACCAGCTTCCTCCTAGGTACCCAGATGCCCAGCTCAGCTTCCAGCCGGCTGCGTCTGTTCGTGAGGCCATAAATCAGGAGGCCTCTGATGGGGTCAGGCCTGCTCACGTTGCTGATGGCATTAGGGTAACGAATGGGGAGTGGGTGTTTATATTAGTTTTGGCTCTCGAGTTGAAGGGAGAACGCCAGCGTTTAGCTTCGTGATAAACTCAGCACCAACACATCCCGGGTCAGCAATTATGTTTTAAAGATCCCTTGGGAGGAGCTGGGGCGGAACCTCCCTTGGAAAGTGTGGCCACCCGAGCAGGCCTACCCTGATGTGGGAGGTGGATGAGGCGTAGCACCGATGGAGGCAGTCTGGGCTGAACAAGGGACTAGTGCTAAGACTGGGCATAGGCTATTGCTGATGTTGTGTTGGAAACACACACACACACACACACACACACCACTTCTGTTCTGTGCCCCCACCACCCTGCTTCCTCCTCGGGGAGTGGATAACTGGGGTAAGCAGCTGCTTATTGGAAGACCCAGAAGTTAGTCATGCGAGCAGCTTATGGGGACGGTGGGCGACACCCGTGTGAGATAAGACAGGAAGTAGAAGCAGGCAGCGAGGGGCTCAGGTCAAGAGGCAGATCCCACAATATCTCAGAGCCCATGGGAACTCCAGAGCACAGACTGCCCCTCAGAGGAGTGCCACACTGGGCAGCCATTCACGGTCTCCAGGACTCCCACTCTACTTGGCCATAGCAAAGACCATGGTGACAGTATGAATGGTGCCATGGAACCCAAAGGTGCTACCCTATGACTGAACAGCAAGTTCTTCTTGAAGGGTACCCAAGCAGTGCACCCATGTGGCACCAGGCTGCCACATGGAGATTTCCCTACCAATACTTCCCTTCTGGGAACTCAAGTACTTTGGAGAGTCCGGCAGATGCATCTCGATAGCATGCCCATGTTAGCTAAGCCTTGTAGAATGTGTTACCCGTAGCTCCTTTATGACCCTCCGATCCTCATGGCGGGATAATTTGAGAGGTGCTTTCATTGCCCCACCAATAAATAGTGGTATTCCCCTTCACAGTGCCTCTCAAAGCCAAACTCAGAAAAGGGTCTGGAGCTATGCTTTTAACAGACTCCTAATGTCTCCAAGTGTCTGCTTTGTTGAAGACCTCAAAAAGCATAAAGGGAATATGGGAAGAAGCCACTAAGGGTGCCTAATGGTTGAGATTGCCCACAGGAGTATCAACTCTCCAGTGTTTTCAGGCCTGTGCCGAGTCCTGGCTCAGTCCAAAGCCAGGCAAGGTGGAGAAAATGCCAGGCAAAGAGGCAGAGACTCAAATGCTGGGTGCGGGCAGCTGAGCTGAACTCAGGACAGCAGCAGAGTGACCGATTATGTTTTCCAAAAATGATCACAAGACTATCTCCCCGTTTTTTTTTATTCCAAACTCAACCATGAGGAGGGATGCACAGCCTCAGCCCTGGAACTTGGACCAGACTTGTGACTGCCTTGAATGAGAAAAGATGCAGAAATGTCACCACATCAGTGGAGACTAGATCATACTCAGTGATATAACTTCCACCAAGCACTCTATCTTTTGGGATTTTTGGAAACCACCACCATGCTGTGAGGAAGCTCAAGCATCCCTGAGGAGAGGTCCACCTGAAAAGGAACCAGTAACCAGCACCAACTCACCAGCCATGTGAGCCAGGGCCAAGAATCTACTCCCATGAATGCTCAAATTGCTCCGGTGGATACCATGTGAAGATGCCTTGCCCCCTATGCCATGTCCATTCAGATCCATGGACAAAATAATCAGTGATTGTTGATTATTGAAGGCACTCAGCCTGGGCAATGGATACATGATACAAAGAGCATTCCAACTCTGAGATCCCAACAGTGAGAGTTGGGAAAAGAACACAAAAGAACATATCATTAAAAACTTTTTCAATTATAGTTTACATTAAATATTATTTTGTATTAGTTTTAGGTGTACAGTATAGTGGTTAGACAATCATATACTTTACAGTGTTTCCCACCTGGCGCCATGCATAGTTATTACAATATTCTTGACTATATTCCCTATGCTGTACTTTACATCCCCGTGACTGTTTTGTGTCTATCAATGTGCCCTTATTAATCCCGTCACCTTTTCCACCCAGTCCCCCAACCCCTATCCCTTCTTGCAACCATCATTCTGGAGCTAGAATAACCCTTCATAGGTGTCCCAGGATAGTCTGGCCCAGCCTTTATACCCCTGCATGGGTATGTCACTGGCTGTGGGCTACACAAGGAAGAGCATGACTTTGCCTAGGCAGCGGTCTATAACTAAGACAACCTATAAAGGGTGGTTCAGCCCAAGGAAATGCAAGGAAAAGAATGGGGCAGGAAGTGACAACTGGAGGAGATGACCTCTGAGCTGAACTGAGAAGGTCCCATAAGTAAGACTTGGCTGGGTGAAAGCTATCAGGGGAGAGAGGGAATGTGTAGACAAAGGAAACATCACAGGTAAAGGGGGGAGCAGACACTCACTAGTCCCATTGCTGTCCTTGGCCATGCTAAGCAGGTGCCTGTTTCAAGCCTCTTCCCCTAGATACCTGCATGGCTCACTTCCTTTGCACTAGCATGTTCTTGGAAGCCTTCCTGAGGAAGTGACATTTGAGCTGATGACTCGCTGAAACAGCAGCCTGTGCTGTCCCTCACCCTGCTTGACTTCCATGCTCTTATCACTCCCTGAAAGAACTACCTTCTCAGCTGTCTTCTGGTATGCACTCTCTGTCCCAGGATAGGAAGCTGCCTACTCTGTGTTCCCAGCACCCCCAGCCTTCTGAGCGGCACACACATCTGGCTATATTCAAGGCCTTTGCCCTGCATGAGTGAAGGGATTGGAGAGAAGCAAGGGCCAGGGGTTGAAATGTAAGGTGACGACAGGTGCTAGGAGAGGACCAAAGGGTCCTGGTCGAGAAGCTTGTGTAGAAAACATGGTCCATTCTGATGCATTGCCAGGTGCATTGACACCTGGAGTGGATGTTCTGGGAAGGACAGCGTGGTCGTTCTCCTGGAGCCCTGGAGAGACAGGGACCTGCACTACAGCTGACAGGAACCTATCCCTCTCCAGGCCAGATGGCACCTTAAGCCATCCCAGGTGTGGACCCTATCAGATCCCCCCTCAACCGCCCCCCCACCACCACCCCGAAAAGGCCCTTTCAGAAGGGTCCCGTCAGCTTGCCTTGAAGTCTCACACCTTCCTGGGCAGGATGCTCCTTTATTGCAAAATCCCCAACTGATTGTTCTCAGGACCAAGCCCTTTGATGGTTTTATTGTTCCTAAATTCACAGCAGGCCCCAATAACTTCAGAGCAGGTAGAGAATGCAGAGCTGGGAGGCTACGGGAAGCGAATGGCCCAGGATCAAGGCAGGAGATTGTAATTTCTAAATCTGCTGGACCAGACTTGCCTCTGAAGGCTTCCACGTGCGGGGCGGGGGCAGGCCCTGCAATCTCCGGCCCAGAATGCCATGACTGAATGGATCAAGGTGGTCTTCCACCTTCCAGGGCTTCTGAACACACCTGCCTCTGCTGCGCGTGACATGTGGGTCCGTGCAGCTGGCTGCCATTCTGCCCAGAGATGACCAATTCTGGGGCCAAGTGTCATTGGAGACTTGAATTGATGAGGCTTCATACTGGCTCCTACTGGGACCAACTTAGTTGATTTGCTGGCTTAGAGTCTGTGTGAGAGATCTCAAACTGAGACAAAAATACGGGTACAGTCATGGCCGGTGTCGCTTGGTGGTTAGAGTGTCGGTCCATGCTCTGAAGGATCATGGCTTTGATTCCCAGTCAAGGGCACATACCTGGGTAGCAGGTTTGATCCCTGGTCTGGTTAGGGCACATGTGAGTGGCAATTCCCAGTGGTATGCTGGAGCCAGCATCATTTCCAACTGCCCATGGAGTAGGTTGAAGCTGGTTGGGGTGGATGTATTCACACCATAGGAATTGGCAGATGCTATAAATCAGAGAGCCAATTGTTAACCGTTTCCCAGCACACCACTGACAATGCCTATGAGAGATAGGAGGGAGAAGCAGCACAGTTGGGCAGGGAGAGCCTCAGCCTATTCAGCCTATACACCAATCAGGAGTTCAAAAGCAAAGACTGGCTTCTAGCAGAGAAGGTTGTTGGGCAGAAATGACCAGACCCAAGTGCCCCTGCCATGCGCAGTTATTGTCAGGGAGCCCCTGGGGAGAGCACGATTTCAGCTTGAAAGCCGAGGCTGACCCTGGTTTGTCAGCTAACCCATTCCTGCAGCTGAACGGAAAGCTCTGAGAGGTGCATCTTCATGCTCCTCGGGAACCGGCCTCTCTGAACGAGACCCACAGGCATACTCACTAGGTCCTGTCATGAGACCACTGGCTATCGAGCTCCATTTCTGCACCCCCACGTCCTCTCTGGACCAGACTGTTTTACTTCTTGTCCATGTTTGCTTTCTGGTGGCCACTTGGGTTTAGTCAGTGGAGACGGAATCAGGAGGTCAGAGTGTAAGAAGGGGGTGCTGGTTATGTATTGACTCCAACCGCAGAACCTCAGACCTGCCATGCCCTTTACGGAGTTGTTTGCCCCTAGTGTGGCCCAATATGGTGGCTCCTCCGTGAGGTCCCAGGCGGAAGGCAAACGCCAGGAAATTCAATCAAGGGAATTTAATATAGAGACTCCATTTCAAAGGCCCAAGAGCATTGCTAGATCAAACGGGATAAAGTGAGACAACCCAGCGATTAGCAGCAGCTGGGAGGCTCTGCTCAGAGGATGGAGGGCAAAAGGAAGGGGCGGCACCGCCTCCCGCTTTGGTTGGAGCCATCGGGTTGCATCTGGAAAGGCTTTGGACTTTTCCAGTGGTCGCTGGTGACTAGGGAAGGAGCTGGCCAGCGACAGGAGCTGGAGGTAAGGATGAAGCCACACATGAAGAGGAGAAGGAAGGGGAGAAATGGCCTGGTTCTCCTTCTCTACTGACTCCAAACCAAAGGCAGCTGGCAAGAAGCTAGGAAACAGCAGGCATCTTCCTGCGCAGAGCTGAGCAGAGGGAGGGGGGAAATCAGTGTAAAGGCAAACAGGTCATGACTTCCAAAGCAGTCCTGGCCTTGCACACAGTAGGTATTCACATATTTTAAGACTGGCATCTTCTCTCATTCAAGGAGAAATGAAATGGAACAGACCTTCAGGGATGCAGGAGAGCCCATCTGTTCTTGACAGTCTTCTGACTCTTAGCAGGCCCAGATTTCATGTCCACGGGCTTCTGTGAGATACACATCCTGAAAATAACTACTCTCCCCTCTTTTAAATTGTTAACTGGGTTGAGTTGGGCTGATCTGTTTCACAAGTCTTGATTAGAACAGCCTCTGATTGTGGGAAGGCATGGCTTCAGGTGGGAGAGAATCTTGCTCCATAACTTTCCATTGCTAATTATTGCCTTTAGGATCAAGTCCATTCCTTTTTCTAAAAAGCCTCACATGCAGGCTGTAGAGGTTCAACTAGACAGCTGCATCCTTCGTTTTCACTTCTACTCAGGATCCAGCGAGGATCATCTCAGACCTGGTCTCAGTTGGCTATTGCTGTGTAAAAATGCCTCAGGACTCAGTGACTTGAAGAGATAAGCATGCGTTATTGTTACTGAGTCTAGGATTTAGCTGGGTGGGTATTCTGGCCTCAGCTGGGCTCATGCATGTACCGCCAGCCAGCTGGGGTTGGGTAGGTGGCTTTGGACTTTGTCATGTATGGGAGGGTGGGGATCGACTGGTCTAGAAAGGCCTGGTCTGGGACAGCTGGGCTGCTTGGTCTTTCTGTCATCCTCTAGCAGGCTGGCTTGGGTTCACTCACATGGTGGTAACATGCTCTCTGCACTCTTTAGACTCTGCTTTGGACTCTAGTTACAGGGAAGTAGTAGATGCCATAGTGTCCCACCCAGATCTTTCTGGACCAAAGCTTCCTTCCTCAGGTGCTGTGAGTTTGGGCTGCTGATGACCCACCCATCAGTTGCTCTCTGGGAACTGCTCTCTGCTGAAGTTAACCACTTCACCCAACATGCTTCCTTCCCGTGGGCTACCTGCGTTCAATGGTTAGTCTATGAAGGTGTGAAGCTCATCTCTCCTCACTCCACTGTGGAGCTGGGATGGGCTTGGAGCGTTGTCCCGAGGCTCTCCATGGGTCAGCAGAGGCCTGTTTCAGCTGCATTGCCATTCAGTTTCTCCCAGAGCCCAATTCTCCTCCCCCAGTTCCCACAGGCGCTGTTCCTGAGGACCCTCCCTAGTAAACCCACCTGCATGCAAACCTTGAGAAACTCACCTCCAACATGTGACTTTGTTACTGTGGTTGAAAGAATTGGACCCACATCTTGAATGTTCACCAGCATACCACTAGTGACATGTCAACAAGCAGCTCTCCAGGGGAAGTAGTTTTCATTTGTATGTTTGCCAATTACCATGGTGTAAATACTCCCACCATGACCCAATTCAAACCATTCAGGTCATTGAATGTGGAAGTGGGAAGAGAGATGTGCCAGATGGGCTTACAGGTCGGCTGAAGCAAGCTCCAGGCCACCACTGACCCCAACCCAGCATACTCACCCGTGTGCATAGGTAACAAACAACATTACTGTGAAGCAATACCTGCCCTTACTGTACATAGTGAACTCTGGTTTCCTCTCTTTTTCAAAGCCCAGCTCAAGTCTCTAGATATAAGGCCTCTAAGAAGTGACCTGCAGTTTGAAATGTGTATTAGCAATGGTCCTGCTTGGCGCAGCAAATGGCAGCTGAATGCAGGAAGGAGGGCATATGAGGCAGGACCCCTCCTGCCTGTCCAGGTGATCCAAGATTTAAGTCAGCCAGTGGGGAGAGAAGGGTGAGTGGGGGTATTTTTGGTTTTTGACATTAAAAAGGTTGCAAAACCTCTTTGTAGATTTAGTCCCCCAAAAGTACTCCATTTAAGTTTTCTTATAATACCCTGGGAAGTGGGGAGAATTAGCTTGTTCAACAGGAATTAGTTTTCAACTGGGGCTTATCCCAAGGAAAGCAAAGTCCTTCCCTAGTTCACTAACCTCCCTCACAGACACCCCCTAAACCAAATAACACTTGTGGGTCCTTCTGACACCACAGGCCAAGCAGGCAAGCCAGGAGCTCATTGGATAAATAAGGCCGTAGTAAGCCCTAATAGCCTGGCATTAATTGCCATCACTTCCCGTAAGATGGTCCAGGGCCGTGGTTGGCAAACCGCGGCTCGCGAGCCACATGCGGCTCTTTGGCCCCTGAGTGTGGCCACAAAGTTTCGATCGCACTGTACGTGCGCGCCCGCACGTGGTATTTTGTGGAAGAGCCACACCCAAGGGGCCGCAGTTTGCCGACTACTGGTCTAGGGCAGCGGTCACCAACTGGTGGTCCGTGAGGTCTGAAAGATTGGCGACCACTGGTCGAGGGCTTTCTCCAGCATCTGGCTGACTGGCTACTGCAGGGCCCAGTGCAGCTGCAGGCATGTTGTTTGGCTCATGCAAACAGGAAAATTGGACATAAAAACCT